GAACTCCTTGGCCAAGCCAAGGCAGTCTTTCATCTTATGTTTTGCGTTCTTGTGGAGAGGGCAAGGACCGTCGAGGATCTTCTTATATTGCTCGTCGTAGTTCCGCTTGGCGCGAGGCTCATTGACAGTACCAACGAAGTGGTCTGACCGGCGGCAACGATTTTGACCGGGCTTGAACCCTTCTGGCCGATCACGGCCGCTATCCCGGTTGAAACCGCGGTCGTTGTGGCGTTAGTTATCAGGGCGGTCATCGTAGCGGTGAGGCGGACGATTTGCGCTCGTATCTTCGTTGAAACGCACCTCCGCTTCCTCGGCATCGGCGTACTGGTTGGCGGTCGTGATCATCTCGCCGATGCCTGTAGGTGGCTTACGGTTGAACTTGGACCGAAGCTCGCGGTGGTGAAGTCCTCGGACAAAGGCGGTGATGACCTTAGCTTCCGTGATGTTGGGAATAGAATTCCTCATCTTGGAGAAGCGTCTGATATAGCTGCGGAGGAGCTCAGACGGCTTTTGGGTGATGCGGTTGAGATCATGCTTGGTTCCCGGACGCGTACATGTAGCCATGTAGTTGTCGATAAAAACTTTCTTAAGCTCTTCCCAAGATCCGATGGAGTCCAGGGCGAGGCTTGTGAACCAACTCATGGCGGCTAGCGTGAGCATGACAGGGAGGTAATTCGCCATGACGTTGGTGTCGCCTCCGGCGACGCGAACGGCCGTGGCGTAAGCCTGCAGCCACTGCGTTGGGTTCATCCTTCCTTCATAGGGCTCGACCCCAGTGATTTTAAAACCACGTGGCCACTGGAGTGTTCGGAGCGCCCTGGTGAATGTCGGAGGTCCTTCGGGATTGCCGGCTCCATCATCTGCAACGTTGCCGGCGGCGATAGGCTCCAGAGCTGAGTCCGAGTTATCGTACTCTCGCTCGTACTCCTGGCGGTGGCGTACTTCATCTTCATGGCGACCAAAGCGACGCTGCTCGTTACGTCGTCATGCATCCCGGAGATTGCTGAGGTGCACTCGAGCGTCCTGTTCGACCTCCTGGTTGTGCTGGCGATGGTGCTCGGCGCTGTGGCCCCCAACTCCACCATGGAGGGGTAGTGACTGGTCGGTGAAACGGCTTTGGCTGGGGCGGCGATTGGATCTTGGCGCAGCTGATCGATCAATCGTGCTTATCGAGCATGAAGGTCTTTGGTCCTGGCGGATCTCGTTGACCTGACAGTGTGCCGCTTTTAGCATGGCAACGACCTTGGCAACCTCGGGAGTTTGCGGGAGCCGGGCGAGCTCGTTGGTGGCTACGGCCAAGTTAGCGCTTGGAGTTTTGTAGATGTCGTGACCGTCGACACGGAGAAAATCTTCGTCAAGGTTGCGATGGAGCGGCCTCTCTTGCGAGTCGAATTGGTTGTCGCGAGCGGTCTCAGCCATCGCGAGGGCACGCTCGTTTTCACGACGCTGCGCGCGGTTGACGTTCCTGTTTTCACGAGCGGCGCGTTCCTCATCGGTTTCGCCGTTCCGAGGGGGCTGTCGATGCTGACGTTGAAGATTGCACCACCCCGAAAAGGCAGGAGAGGAGGTTGCTCGGTGAAGGTTTCGGCAAGGGTCTCCGTGGAGCCCTGAGATTCGGAGTCCGGACTTTCCTCCAAGATGGTTTGGAGGGATGCTCCGGGGCATCAGCTGGCATGTAGCATGTTGACCGTCGGCGGGAGCTGGTCGGCGATTTAGTTGGCGAGAGGATGGATATCCCCCACCTGGTCGGTGAATTTGCCCTTCAGGGCATCTTGGTATGTAGCGGCGATGTTGGCGAGCCCAAAGGGTAGGGCCGTAGCCCCCGGAGTTTGCCGAGCAGCCTCCGACAGGATCGGATCGGAGGGTGGTCGGCGCTGAACAAAGGTGTCTAGAGCCGACTCGGCGACGGAAAGACAATCGGCGAGCTTCCGACCGACCCGATCGATGGACTCGATCAGATCGTCATTGACGATGTGCCTCCTCTGGTAACGAGGAAGCGAGCGGCGAGTCGTTGACGAAGATGACCTCGGAAGTAGTTCCAAGATCGGATCTGCAGTTGCAGGTGTGGGGGTGGTCGGCACAGAACGGATCTGCGTAGGCTCGAGGAGCTCTCCGACTCCGTCAGCGTTGATGACCCATGAGATGGATCCGACCGTGAAGATCTGGCCGGGCTGCGGGAGGGACGAAGAGCCTGTGGAAAAAGCCATCTTGTGCGACAAGGAAACAACACACACACCCCTACCTGGCGCGCCAACTGTCGACAGAATATCGTCGGCAGTCCTCCGAGGGGTATCTCACGAAGGTAGATTGATCGGTAGAGGAGCACGAGATCAAGAACAAGAAAGCAACAGAGACACATGAGTTAGACAAGTTCAGGCCATCACTATGACGTAATACCCTACTCCTGTGGTCTGTTGGTTTGTATTAGCTATCGTATGATATGTCGTGATTTTGGAGGGGGTCCCTGCCCGCCTTATATAGTCTGGGGGCAGGCTTACAAGTCGGTTAGATCTGAGAGATAACCGGAAAGTAATAACAGATTACAAGAATCATGGGATCGTACGTATCCTAACAGATCTCGTAGTATCTTCAGGATATCTTCCTTATGGCTTGCGGGAAGCGCCGAGCTGAACCGTGCCCCGCAAGGCTTCATCTTATGGGCCGGGCCGCCCCTAGGGGCATAGCCCATGTGGTCTGCCGTGGGTATCCGGGGTCGTACCCCCCACAGACAGGTAGACAGGGGCTTCGGAGGAGGACGCGACGGCGGTGCCGTACGTCGACGTGCCTCGCCCGGACAGGAAGTGGGAGCGGAAGCCGTACGTGACGCCGATGCAAAACACGAAGACATTGCCTCGACGGAGACGAGGTGGCCCTTCCCCTGCCACTCGAGTCTGGCACCGACGATGCAGAACACGACGACGGCCTTGGTTGGCGAGGTGAGCAACGGCGAGCGCGAGCGACATGTGGCAGGAGGTGCTGTATGCCATGGTGAGGTGGGCGACGATGAGCGCTAGCGACACGTGGCCACGGTCTGGATAGCGCATTGCTCTAGCAAGCAGGACGGTGAGAGAGAAGGGTCTATTTTTAACAAGGATAACTGATGTGAGGGGTTAATTGAAAAATACATGCCATGCTAGCATGCCACGTCAGGAAAAAAAATGTCTACGTGGCTGGCATGGGCCTGCGGTGCACCGCTTAACAAGTTTAGGGACTCAAAAATACATTTTCTAAGTTGATGGACTCATGTGACATAGACATACTGGTGCATTTAACTCTTTTAAGAATTTATGCATCGGCAAAGCATAAAACCATGTCAGAGTGTGCGGGCAGTAGCAAACGATATGTATGCTCCGAAGTACAAAGGCATGTGTAGAAGAAAAAAAATCGAACAGGATTCTTTTTCTAATGCATAACTACCACTGTTTTTTTCATGTAAACACTATGGTCACAAAAAATGTCATTTTGAATGAACTTTACAACTAATTTATGTATCCTGTATATATCAAACATAGCTGTTCTAGAATATTATAGAACTATAATACAAGATAAATCAACTTATCATTAATTACATCTTCGTGTAATTAACCTGGGTTCCTTAATTTTATTACTATTAGATTTACTATTACTGTTATTATATGTATCACTATAGTACTACATGAGCAGATGGTTATTGACACATCAAGAAACAGCGGCGCTACCAATGACTAGGAAGGACGCAAGCAACCATACATATGACAAGTACTCAAGTGTGTCATAGCTTGGGTCCTTTTACCCTACTGTAGGAGTAGATCAAGAGACAAAGCAAACAGTGTAGCAACAGTACATTTATCTATCTCGAACAGTACTGAAGCCGCTATTTATCTGGAGACCCGTAATACCAGCGGAGACACCGTTAACCCGTTCGCAGATTAGTTTATGTAAAATACTATACTATGGCTGATAAGTTCTGTCTGAAATCAACAAATAAACAGCTTAATAACGACACGTTGCACCGCTCATCCACCGCCACACATGCGGCCCAATTTCCAACCACTAACTGTATATGCCTACTAAGGTCTATTCGCGTGTCCTTAAATCCGGCTTGATCCACTTTTTTTTCATCTAGAACGGTGTTTTTCTCTCATAGATTCCTCTAGATTCCTTCCAGCGAACGGAGCCTAAACGAGCTTAGGTATAGTACTTTGCTTAGTTGTATGAATTTCCCTTTCTTACTAGCTACACACAAAGGTATATAGGAGTACAACACACAGTGAAAGACATACAAGACGTGTGTGGGTGGTAAATAAAACTAAGAAACAGTGATGGCTGAATATAGAGAAACTAGTAACTCTGATCTGATGTGGTTCGTCAGTAACAGTGCATGTAACTGAAGAGGGTATCCAAAATTGAAAATTGTGCCCCAGCGTTATTCCATGGCACATCACAGGTCTCCAATATTGCATTATACAATGCGAGTTAAAGACAATAAACGAGAGGTGGAGAGCCATGAAACCTGGAGCTAACAGTGGCCTCGTGATGCTCACTATACTACTGATAAGTGCTCTCTATTATGCCTCAATCATCAAACAAGTGGACTAATGCATGCAAACCTTATCCCCTCTCCCCGAATAAACAAAGCAGCAAAAATCACCCGTATCAGCAGCACGAATCCAAAGCGGGGGGAAAAAAGCTGGCTCAGTTCCATGGCATAAACCCAACAACATTTCCCGATGTGGTAAGCTACCTGTCTGCAACGAACCATTGGCCTTGTTTAGATTGAAGATAATTTCAACCCGATGAATAGTAGCATTTTCGTCTTATTTGGTAAATATTGTCTAATCGTAGACCAACTAAGTTTAAAAGATTCATCTCGTGATTTCCAACTAAACTGTGCAATTAGTTATTTTTTTTACCTACATTTAATGCTCCATGCAAGCGGCTAAAAATTGATGTGATGGAGAGAGAGTGAAAAAACTTGGAATTTTGGAGTGATCTAAACAAGGCCATAGAGAAATAGTTACCGGAGATCGAGCCGAGCTGCAGCTGCCTCTCCACGCTCTTGAAGAACTCCGTTGCCTCCTGGATCGGCCGCGCCATCTCCTCCTGGAACTTCACCAGCATGTTGCAGTAGGCCTCCTGCATCAGAGTGACAAGCAGGTGATGCGGATGATTATGTGAGATGGATACCATGCATGGACAAAGAAGTATCGCATGCGACGAATCCATCGATGGATCAAAGCACCGTAGGTACCATGAACTGGTCGAGCTCCGGGTCAGGCCGTGTCGTCGGCTCGCGCCACCGGCTTGGCCCCGGCTGTGCGTCCAGCTTCGCCGCCATGGCCGAGAGCCTATCCGACACATCCGGCGGCGCGCCGACCTATATATGCAATCGACAAATCGAATCCATGACATATAGCAGTAGCTGGTAAGATTTTATTTTATACAGAGTTAAATGCATGAGAGGTCTTTGAACTTATTATGGGTGTCACTTACGTACGTAAACTTAAAAAATAAATTTTTGGATACATAAACTTGCTAAATAATACACCGTAGGTATTGCCATGTGGCAGAAAAATATGCACCCAACCCCTGAAAAAATATGCCCCTAAACATATCAGACCGCGATAGAGGAGATGAAGACGCCGCTGCTGTTCGTGTGCGCGCTGCCTCCCTCTGCTATGTCCTCGCCAAGGCCATCGCCGTGTTCTGCGTCGCCGGCGCAGGACTCGAGTGGCAGGGGAGGTGCCACCTCGTCGCCGTCGAGGCCATGTTCCTCATGTCGGTCGAGCTCGTCGTCGCCCACCTCGCCATCGCGCGTAACGCGCCTCCTGCCACAAGCGCCGACGCCTACTCGTCTACAGAATCGACGTCAAGGGAAGAGAACATACAGCGACGTGTGCGGCGCTCTGGATCGGAAGCCGAGGGTCCCTGTCCTTGCGCTCTGCTGACCGCGGTCCTATCGCGTCGAGGCGCTGCGCTCGCCTGCTGCGGCCAATGTCCTCGCTGCCCTCCACGACCGAGCGCCCTCTGCCTGTGCTGCTGCCTCGCTCCGTCCCAACGCCTTGGCACTCGACTGCCCTGCCGCGGTTTGAACCTTAACGCAATCGTGACAGCACGTCTGCACGCCATGCCCGTCGTCCACGCCGAGCACCTCTGTTCCTCGCCTCGTCCCGAGGCTGTGTGCCATAGACGCCAGCCCAAGCCCCAGCCGAGCCTCTGCCTGCCCTGCCTCGCCGGCAATAAAAGCCGTGTTCCAGCTTCACGGTCGCCCTTTATTCCTCTTCCAAATTCGCCCACTGTAGTGAACGTCGGCCCAATTACTTGCACCCACGGCTTCTTTAGGAAGTTAGCAAGCCATAGGACGAGACATCGCTGCGAGCCATCGATGGTACAGGACGGATGGATTTCCATATCTTGCATATTTTTCATGGGTTTGGGTGTATATTTTCCTGTCACGTGACAAGTATGGACATATAGTGTATCATTTAGTAAGTTTACATACTCAAAAATATATTTTTTAAGTTCATAAGCATAAGTGACACACCATAATAACAAGTTTAAGTACCTCTCATACATTTAACTCTTTTATATATATACATCTCCCGAGTTCCTGGTTAAACAAGTCCTGTGCATGGATGCTGGCTTGTACTAACCTTTTGGCAGTCCAAGTAGGCGGCGAGGAGAGCCGAGTACTGGGGGTGCGACATGATCTTGGCCTTGATGGTGATGGTGTCGGCATCCCCATCCGCCGCCGGCGACATCTCTCCCTGTACTATTGCTGCCGCGTCCTTCTGATGGCTATGCTGCTGCGCTGCCGACGGGTCGGCCAGTAACTGTTGCAACGCGATGCGTGAGCTGTGGTGCTGATGGTGCTGCCCGTCCGGCGGCGGAAACACCTGTTCTGCTGACGACGTTGATGCCGGCAGCGGAAGCTGAAAGAAGGAAGCAGCAGCCTTAGAGGAACTGCTCCCACCTCCGCCAAGATCCCCGAAGCTATCCATGGCTTTTGGCTAGCTTCTTTATTTCCACTGTGTCAATAATCAAAAGACAGATCGAAGAAGAAGAAAACTGATGAGGCCAAGACGACTCAAGAAACCCTAGCTAAGGCTAAGCCAGCTAGCAATGGATCGGACGACGGGAAGGAAGAGATATGAACTCAGGTAGATGCATGGTTGAGATAGATATTTGGGATAGGATCTGGTTAGGAGATGGATCGATGAAGAGAGGAGGAAAGGTATACAGGAGTGAATGATGATATGCGTGTGTGTGTGGCTGGTGGCTGGCTTTGTTCCCATGTCAAGTCAGAGTAAAGAGGAAGCAGCTCAGCTGTGCGCTGCTGTTGCTAGCTGCCGCTGTTACACGCACAGGACGACAGCTGCGCCTGGGGAATACTCGGTCCGAATAGACAGGGACCAACCGAGATGCGAGGAGGTCCGGAGGGAGGAGGAGATCCGTACCAAGGTTGCAGACGCATCATACATATCACATGCAGATGCGTGATCTTTTCTTGTTCTTCATCAGTAGTCCTTGCAATGCTTGCGACGTTTCTAAGAGCCGGGACTCGTTTAGATCGGAGTTAGGAGTAAGTATTTGACACTGTAATATTTTTGTTTGTATTTGACAATTATTATCCAATCATAGCTCAACTAGGCTTAAAAGATTCGTCTCGTAATTTACAATCAAACTGTGTAATTAGTTATTTTTTTATCTATATTTAATACTCTATGTATATGTCAAAGATTTGATGTGACAGAAAGAGAGCCAAAAAAAACTTACAATCAACGCCCTGGACGGATTTTTTGAGGTTTCCATCAGTGTCGACGGCCTGTCTCTGCAGGCAGGAGCAGTCAGGACTCAGGGACAGTGAATTGTTTCATCTACAAGCAGTAGCAAGCGTAGTGGGGACTGTAGAATGAAGTTACAGGCTACAGCCACGCGCGGTGGTGTTCCCGGCATGTCGTCTCTCTCCGTCAGTCGCCTTTTCCTATGTGGCTATGCCTACTACTACGTGTTTAGCCGCTTGAGCCCTCCTTTTCACTATAAGGCCCGGTTTAGTTCTAAATTTTTTTTATCCCAAACTATCCCATCGAATTTTACGGTGTGCACATATATATATATATATATATATATATATATATATATATTATTAAATATAAATTAAAAAAAGTAAATTACACAGTTTAGTTGAAAATCGTGAGACGAATGTTTTAAGACTAATTAGTCAATGATTAGTCATAAGTGCTACAGTAACTAACATGCCCTAATGATGAATTAATTAGGCTTAATAAATTTGTCTCGTAGTTTCTAGACGAGCTATGTAGTTAGTTTTTCTTAATAATATCCAAAAACTCCTTCCAATATCTCCGAAACATCCGACGTGATATCAAAAATTTTCATTTGGTGAACTAAACACAGCAAAGGATGAAAAGATTCTCGGTGAAGTAACATGCTACTAGCTGGTGCGTGTTCATACCGCCCGTACGTGTCATCAGTTGGCGCCTAATCTCGCTCAATCTCATGTCTCTCCACCTCCGGTGATCTGCTAGAGATAAATCAAAGCCAAGGTTATGTTGAATTAATGGTAGCGAAACACGTGGCATATATCCTCTGCCGAAGATACAAATCCACCAAGCTTTGTCGTCCCAAGTCAACTTTTTAAAACTCTCACCAGTTGTTGTTGGCAGTAAATACCCGTCCACGACAAATTGGCTAACAAATAAAATTATATACCCATACCTATGGACACTGCCTATGGATAACATTACATCCGCGCCCATCGGGTATGATACCTGCAAGAGCCCATGGGCGGAGCTATACTCAACTTAGAGGGTGTTTGATTTGGGCGGTTAAACTTTAGTCCCTACTAAATGGTTTAGTCCTATTTAGTCACTCCAGAGTTATTAGAGAGGAATAAAGCCCATTTAGTCCTATTTAGTCATAGTGTTTGGATAAAAAGTGACTAAATAAGACTAGATTTAGGAGCTCCTAGCTGAACCGAATACCCTCTTAGTGGGTGTGGCTGCATCCAAAAAAAAAATTAGATATGAATGATTAGAGTTAAAATAGTTCGATTAATTAGGATGAACCTGGTGGACTTATATTTTCATTAGAGGAAGTATGTATGTACTCATGCAGGCGATAAGATGGTATTTGCAGAAGAGATAGCATCCTAATTACCCAGTTTTAATCGTGTTGGACTCTTGGTTATGAAGGTAATTTGTGGGGTACACCGATCAATAGTTATCTATATCTCTTATAAAGATAAATCCCACTAGCAATTTATCTTGCATGTAAAGTGTCCACATCAGCATTCACTAGAACATCCCACTACCACAGTTAACTATCTCGCCATGCAAAGTGTCTATATCAGCATCCACTAACACATGGCATTTTGTCTTCATTCAAACTATTCACATTAGCAAATCACATCATTTACTAACATATATTTAGTTGTCAACATCAGAATGCTAAAAACTCATCCACTAACATATATTATGATATTTATTCAATCATATTAGTAAATATAAGTAGCATAATTTCACCACGATTCCTGCAGCAACGCGCAGGGCGTTCTTCTAGTTTTTAAATTTTTATGGCCCATAGAGCTAGCCGAGTGGTAATCAAATAATTAGTTCTCTTCAAAAACAAACAAGAGGATCTATTGGGGTCATACTAGGTTATGGGTCAGTTTAGGTACAGTTATATTCTAGTGGCACGGTTCAATCTAGTCCACGTACGGGCACCACCCGTTATTTCTGAAATATAAAGAAATAGTTTTTAATGTCTGCAATATACCCTTCAGCATATCAACACAATACTGCTATTGCCTATGAGTGTCCCTACCGGAAACCGACACTTTGCCGGGTGCCGGAGGCTTTGCCGAGTGTATTTTATCGGACACTTGGCAAAGACGGTATTTGCCGAGTGCCAAATAAAATACACTCGACAAAAAAAAACACTCCACAAAATGCATCTTTGTCGAGTGCCTTTTTCTGGCACTCGGCAAAGATGTATTTTGCCGAGTGTTATTTTTCGGCATACGGCAAAATGCGTCTTTGCCGAGTGCCTTTTTTCTGGCACTCGGCAAAGATGTATTTTGCCGAGTGCCTTTGTTTTGGCACATGGCAAAGAGGCATTTTGCCGTGTGTATTTTTTTTGCCGTCGGCAAATCAGTTTTTCAAAGCAATTTTTGAGGCCCTAAATGAATTCAAATGAAAAACTTTTCAACTACAAAGTTGTATAACTTCTCAAGATCTACAAAGTTTATTTTGGTCATTTCTTCATTTGACAAAACGACAATAACGTTGTTCATAAAATCTACATCTCTCATATTAGTTTCATGAAAGTAGAAGAGAGATATATAAGATTTGTGAACAATGTTACTACCACTATGTCGGATGAACAAATGACCAAAATAAACTTTGTAGATCTTGAGAAGTTATGAAATTTTGTAGTTGGCAACATTTTGATTTGAAATCATCTTGTCATGCAAAAACGACGTTTGAATTTGAAAATTTTAAAATTTGAATTTTTCAAAAGACCTCGGATGGAAACACTTCATAAATGAAAATTGTAGATCTCCAAAAGTTATGAAACTATATAGTTGACAACTTTTTTATTTGAAATCATCTTTTCATGCAAAACTACGTTTGAATCTCTCAAATTTGAAATTCGAATTTTTCAAATGACCTCGGAAAAACTTCCTAAATGAAAATTATAGATCTCGAAAAGTTATGAAACTTTATAGTTGACCACCTTTTGATTTGAATTCATTTGGGCCTCAAACAAGCAATTTACTCTCGGTTTAGTATAATATACGAGGATAGATAACGGAATCTAGACAAAAGTGATGGTGTAGTGCAGTGATAGAGCAGCAGACACGCGAGGGAGATGTCGTGAGTTCGAATCCCGCCGGCCGCGTTAGCCGCGAATTTAGCGCAAAAAATGCACCGACTTCGATGAAGACGGGCGGGCGCTGGCTGGTGGCGGCCTCCCCCGAAAAAAAATTGAAAAAAATTGCCATTATTTTTGGGTTTTTTTTGCATTTTCATTTTGCCGAGTGTAAATCTTTGCCGAGTGCTTTTCCGGCACTCGGCAAAGGCTTTGCCGAGTGCCCGACAAAAAAGTACTCGACAAATAGCTGTTTGCCGACAAAAAGATGTCGTGTGTTGTATGCCGAGTGTTACACTCGGCAAAGCAGTTGCCAAGTGTTTTTGGGCCAAACGACTGTATCCTGTAGTGTGTGTTGACACGCAAAATGTGCCAACGTGAAATGTGGGTTAGACCATCAAGTTTCTGACATCAAGAACATGCCGAAAAATATTTGGGACAATATAATTCAAAGCACCAAGTCAAAATACGGAGAAAGGAAGAAGATGGCGTTGCCTTGGGTGGCCCCTTGCGGAGGCCCGAGGAAACCGGCCAGGCTGGTTTGCCTGCACTAGTATGAACCGATTTGTTTCCAAATCGGTTTTAGATCTATTTTAGACGTGGGAAACTTGAATAACACGTTTTAGAGTTATTTCCTACTGGGATCACGATCGATTGAGGATCCCAACTTCCTATCATCAAAAACACCAGGCATACCCTCATTTGCCCTACTATACTTTCTCTCTACCTTGCTGTTCGCCACGTCTCCCGGCAAGATTTGGTGGTGTTCTAGGTGGCCTTGTCAATCCAAGGACACCCTCCACGTGCTCAACATCACGTGCTCTAGGTGGCCGTGCTGATCGTCACGTCTCCTTGGAGGTGTTCGGGAGTCTACCGAGCGAAGATCGGGCTCAACATCGGCCTAACTGGTTCATCAGCCGGTTTCGTCAATCTGATGCGTTCTTGCTACGATATAGGTTGTTTACAACTGTCGGGGACCTAATACCAGGGTACCTAATAAGGTGGAACTAATGACCATCGAACGTTGACACTTCCGATCAGACGAGAACGCTACTACGCTTCTTGTCCAAACGACGGAAGACTGGTTCCGCCTCGCTCGACCTCCGAGGGC